CACGGCCATCTCGCACACGCACTCCAAGGAGGAGCTGGCGCGCAAGCTGGGTGCCACCGACTTTATCGCTTCGGGCGACAAGGACCCGTACTCGGCGCACAAGCGTTCGCTCGACCTGCTCATCCTCACCAACAACAATGCCGACATGCCCATCTCAGACTACCTCACCCTCGTGCGTCCGCGCGGCAAGATCGTCGCCGTCGGCGTGCCCGAGGAGCCCTGCCAGCCTACTCCGCTCCCTGGTCTTGCCTTCAGCGGCGTCTTCCTCGGAGGCTCGCTCATCGGTGGCCCCGGCATCATCCGCGAGATGCTCGAGCTCGCAGCAAAGCAGAACCTCAAACCCATGATCGAGGAGCGCGACATGAAGGACGCCAACCAGGTCGTCTCCGACATGGACGCCGGCAAGCCCAGATTCCGCTACGTCATGGTCAACAAGGACTACATGCCTGTCAAAGCCTGATTCCTGCCCCCTTTGCTCTAGTATCTAGAAACACCCTGCGCTTCTCTAATCAAGGATGGATTGCAATTGTCCGGATCGTCGAATGTGCTCCATAGACCAAGCGAGTGAGAAAGCTGGTGCATCACTTGATGTTGCCCAGACGCTGTGTGCCGGCAAAGATCTTGGTGTCGAGCGTGGTGGCCTTGTCGCCGATCCTCTGCAGCCTCGAGTTCTGCGAGTCGACTTCGGCGCCCATGGCCTTGCCGAGTTGGTTAAGCCTGGAGCTCAGCATGCCGATCTCGTCGAGGTTCTGGTCGAGTTCGTCCTCGAGCTCGTCGTCCGACTCGGTGGCTTCGAACTGGTAGCGACCGCGCTGGGCGACCTTGTTGCGCTGCGCCTCTTCGGCCTTCTTGCCCGTGCCGAACCTGTCCTGGCCGAATCGGCCGATGTTGGCCTTGCCCGTGCCTGGACCGTTCATGCTCGCGTCGAGCCTCGACTGCGCCGCAGTGACGTCGCGTCGCACGGCTTCGCGCTCCTCGCGCTCGTCGATGTGGCGCGCGATGATGCGTGCCTCCTCGGCATCGCGTTTTGCCTTCTTGTTGAATTGGATGTTGGGCCGGAAGATGGAGCGGTTGAGAGCCACAATCTCCTTGGCATTGTCTTCGGCACGCGAGGCATGCGCCTTTGCGAGGTCGAGCGAGCGCTCGGTGTTGCCGATCTTCTCCGACTGGTCCGAGAGCTTGAACATGGTGTTGGACGCCGTCTCCTCGGCTTCACGCGCGATACGGAGCGCATTGCGCGTCGAAGAGAGCGACTCTTGCTTGGTAAAGCGCATCTGCTGCTTGATCGCCTCGACCTCGTCGTCTTCCTCGTCGCGCTGCTCCTCTTGCTGTTCCAGACCGTCGTAGCCTGCGTTGGAAGCTGCGTTCGCACCCGAGCCTCGGCCGTATTCGGCCTCTAGGTCGTCATCACCACCCGCACCACTCTGGACGTTGCGAGAGAGGTTGGCAGACTTGTTTGCACTGCCGCCCGCATATTGGTCGTATCCCGAGCCGAAGCCGGCGCTGGGTGCGCGCGCATTGGCGAATCGGTCCTGGTACGGAGCCGGTCCGCCAGGAGCGCCACCATACTGTTGCTGGCCGTAACCGGCACCACCAGCACCACCACCGTAGCCTTGATTGCCGTAGCCGTAGCCGGCGCCTGCACCCTGTCCCGAGGGGCCTGCACCGCCATAGCCTGGGCCGCCTGCACCGTATCTGCCAGGCGGGCCGGACTGAGGCGGAGGGGCCGACTCGACAGGTGGGATCTTGCTGCTCTTTTTGCCGAATAGACCCATGTTGTAGGATGATGGAGGTTGTGTGTGAAGTGGGTCGGGTCAACTTAACGAGCGCGCGCATGCCCAACTTCAAGGTGTCTCGCTGTCTAAAAGTGGCGGAGGTGGCTGAGGTGGTGCGTGCATGCACCGCCCCCGCAGCCAACCAGGGATGAAAGCAATCTAACAAACAGCGAGCACACCCCGGACGGTCTAACACTTTAAAACTCGCGCGCCCAGAGCAACACCTGCAGGCGAGCGAAGATACGTTGCTCCGACCACCTTCACTTGCGACCTGCATCAGTTCAAGATCACACCGACCCGCCTTGCATCCATCACAGCATCGCTTCTCTCCCGACCGACATCACCCTGCGGCCAGACTCGACTGAGAACCATCGGTCACACAGCCTTTACCATCTCCCGGGCGTAGCAGCACCGCACACCACCAGCAAAGATTCGCCATGTCGTCGCGCATCCCGGACGAGACGCTCTCCCAGGTGCTCGAGAAGATCCAGCTGCAAGTGTACCAGACGAACCAGCAGCTGAGTGCGCTTCGGGCGCAGATCGCCGCACGCGAGCGCGAGGCCAAGCTCAACACGCTCACGCTCACCGAGCTGCAGGCGATTCAGGATCCCAACGCACCGTTCTACCGCTCAGTTGGAAAGATGTACGTACCCCACTCCCACCTTCCCATTCACCTGCCACCCGAACTCACATCTGACATTTGCCCTGCGCCGCCTAGGTTCCTGCAAGAATCACAACCCGTGGTGCTGTCCGAGCTCGAACAGAAACAGACCGCCATCACATCAGATCTTGAAGCCCTCCAGAAAAAGCAAAAGGTACGCCCCCCATCCCATCTGCGGCCTCACTCCGATCATGTTTGGCTCACATTTACGTTCCTTCTTGCTCCCAATCGCACACAAAGTACCTCCAAAAACAGCGCGAAGACGCACAGGCTCACCTCAAAGACATCTTTTCCAGCGTCAACCGTCAGCAGCAACAAGAAGCTTGATCCCAGCAGCCCCCAGCTCACCATGTATCCATACCGACATCCAGAACCAAATCGCCTCCCACAGACACAAAGGATGACATCGTGAGATCGGCATCAATATTGAGTACAAATACAGTCGATTGCGATACAGGAATCAGGAACGAACATGCCGTCGGCAGCAGCCAGCCGCGCGCACGGGCGGAGCACTTACGACCTCTTGGTCATCGAGAAGCTCGCTGCAGGCAAGAGTGGCGAGCCTCCCATGCTGACCGACTCTCTGCTCGCCATGCCCAGCACGCTGTTCGCCCGTGACGGCGAAGCCGTTCCCGAGCCACCTGTCCTGCTCACGGCCGGCGCGGGTGCGGCCGCGTTGCATAGCACAGCCACCTTCTGGATGAGCGCGATCGCTCGCTGCACGCGCGCATGCGACAGCGACTCGGGCGGTGTGTTGCGCAGCAGATCGCGCAGCATCAATCCGTACCTCGGGATGCGCTGCGTCGGCATGATCGTAATGTCCATCGGGGTCAGGCACTTGGCCGTCGCCCCGTTTGTGAGTCCGAGCTGACTCTGCCCAGCCATGCCTGGGCCTGCTCCAGCCGACGGTGTCATGGTCAGCCCCGGCCACATATCCGAGACGCCACTCGACGTCGGAGTAGGCAGCGGCGTCACCAGTGTCGACTGGCTGCGGTAATGGCCGAATCGGCGCGAAGGCGTCACACTTGTACGCGAGCCTTCCGCGCCCGGCGACAGTCCCGCACTGCTCTGCTCAAACGCGCTAGTCGAGTCCGCGCCGTCTTGCGCCTGCGTCAGACCCAAGCCATGCGTGGAAGGCGAGGCTACGACGACGCGAGGAGGCACGAAGCTGGTGCTTGTGATGGTGCTCCGCCTCTTTGTTGATCGTTTGGCGGGCATCGTTGAGTCGTTCAATTCGCGCTCCTGCTCTTTGGGAGCGCCGACTGGGGAGGGTGGCCGTGTCAGCGAAGTCATCCGCAGCGTCTGGCGGTGCAGACCGAGCCCGGGCGAGGAGCTCCCGTTCGCACACGAGCCGTCGCTGGTGGTCGCACCCACCTCGCTTGAGTCCCGAGGCGTCAGCGGGACCAAGCCGATCTTGTACGGTGATTTGCCCTTGGCCAGCTCAGTCGAGCGCAATTCCTTCAAGGCCTGCGGCGCCACTCCCGACCAGCCGACAAAGGTGGCTTCTAACTGCACTGCCAGCGCATCAAATGCTGCGCCGACACCCGCGCTCGTGGGGTTCGACTCGACCCGATGCACCAGCGCATTGCTGAGCGCGATCAGCTGCGGCAGATGCAGCCGCAGCAGAGCTATGTGGCCCGGCGGCGACCCGCTCGCAGAAGTCTTGGCGGCGTAGGCAGACGAGTAGGCGGCAAACAGGTTGCTCGCCGACTTGCGCTTGGCGCCGAGTGAACTGCTGCTGCCTACCGGAACGGCTTGAATGTTGCGTACCACGCTCAGCAGACTGCTAAGATGCCTTGCGTACGACCTCTCCGTCTGCACGAGCTCCCGGATGAGGAAGAGCGCCTTGACCTCCTTCTTCCAGTCATCGTCGTTGACAAAGGCACCGTCGTGCAGGTTACCGCTCGCCTTGCCCACGCCCCACTCCAAGCCGGTCGTCGGTCCACCAACGGGCGATACCTTCTCGGCATACGACTTGACAATGTCCTTCTGACGCTGGTCAACATCTCGATCAGACTTGCGAGAGACCGACGATGCAGACCGCGGGCGACCAAGCTTGGCACCGGCACTAGCAGATCGCTTGTGGCGCAGTCGCACGGTCGTTGAAGCCTTAGTAGAGGCACCGACCTTGTTCGAGCGCCTTCGATCAGCGTGGCCGCTGACTGAATTGCTCTTCCCGCCCAAGAGTGCACTTGTTTGATCCTCGGGCTCATCGTCGTCGATCATCGATCCCGAGATCTTGGTCTTGAGATAATTGCCAGACATCATGCCGAGTCGCGCGAGCCGTGTCTTGTTCTCGAGATCCTGCGCGTGTGCTTGGATGCGCTCGCGGTGGATTTGTCGCACTGACTCGAGCGCTTCCAGGAACTCGCGATCATCGACCATATCGAGCGTCGGCTGGCTCTTCTTGCGCTCACTCATGCCTCCGCGGAATCCCAGCGCGGTGGACGGCCGAGCAAGCGGGCGATCTTCCACCATCGAAGTGCGGATGGGAGAGAGGACCGGCCTGCTGAGCGTGCGTCGCCGGTTCATGTCCATCCGGCCGGCATTCGAGTCTACCAAAGCGGGATTCGACTCTATAGGCGACATGGGTTCGGGGGACAAATTCTGAGCATCCTCGCCTGTCGGCTTGCCCGAGTCCGAGATCATGAGTCGAGACAGGCCGGGCTTGGCTGCCTCGGCCGACCTCGGCTTGCTTGCTGTCGGCACCGATCTGTTCACGCTGGGCTTGCTCGGGGAACCAGTGGCCATCGGAGAGGCCCGAGAGCCAGCCGAAGGTCCTCCGCGGAAAGACGACGGAGGGTTCGCGGGTCGCTGCGGAGAGCGCGAAGGACGCTGCGATTCGGGCGTTGTCAGCGTCGAGGCGGAGACGGAACGCACAGTGCTTCGACCGTTGGACTGGGTCAGTGGCTGCACGCTCCTGGCCAGCGAGCTCTTGGTCGGAGCCAAGACACTGCTGCTGAACGTGCGTGGAGTCTTTCCGCGACCCAGGCTGGACGTCGAAAAGCCGAGCGAGGTTCCGGGTCGTTCGGAAGCAGCCTTGCTGGGCGTGATCCGTTCGGTCTTGAAGCCGGATGACATCTTGCGTAGAGCAGCTGCAGGTGACATTGTTCTTGGCGCAGTTGTCGCTTTGACCTTTTCAACTGCGTCAAGGGCGCCTGCGGTCGGCTCTGGCTTGGTGTTCTTCAGCGAGGACTTGCGATCTCTGCGGAGCGGGTTTCGCAGATGGAAGCCAAGACTTGTTTCCGGCCGGGCTGCGAGAGCATGCGAAGGCGAGGCAGGACGAGAGCCTTGCGGCGGCGAAACGGTCGCGTCAGGCTGTGCAATTCGAGTGCGCGGAGAATCAAAGACACCTGAAAGACGTCGGCCCAGCGATGATCTTCTGGGATCGGTCGTGGAGGTCGTCATGGCCACGATGTTGGCCATGCTCATCGACCTGCTACCAGGCGACGTGCTGGAATCACCCGCTTTGGTTCGTGGGAAGAACTCGCTTGCAGTTGCAAACGATGGCAAAGCAGAGTTGTCGAGAGAAGGGCTCGAGCCGGCGGTCGGTGGCTGCTCTCTCAGCGGGGAGGTCAAAGCGTCGAAGAAGCGACTCTCTTCGTCGACGGGCGTGAACGCCGGTAAAACACTCGATAGGCTGTGCGTGCTGGCCTGGCCATGCGTCAAGGCAAGACCGGAAAGCACGACCGGAGCACCGCTAGCGCGCTTGTCGAGGTCCGACGCTGCTTTCTGCGCCGACTTGGAGATCAACGTCACAGAGCCAAGAGACATCTGCTTCTTGTGTCCAGCCTTTTGCATGCCTGGTCGGCCTTTGGGCGGCGCAATACTGTCGAGCGACTGTGAAGGGGGCAACGGCCGCACTTCGGGAAAGACGAGCGTCTTGTACACAGCCTCGGGTGAGTCTGCAAGTCGATCAAACATCGCAACTTTGAGTGCTTTGCCCTCCGGTCCTTCGCGTTCCGACTCGGTCTGCTGATGCTGGGTTAGAACTACGGTGGCATCGTCGAGAACGACCGCCTGGCCTTTTGCAGCAACTTCCTTGGGGGTCTCGGCAGTTGACGACAAGGTTGCGTGTGCGGCCTTCGACACTGAGGAGGTCGCAACGTCTGCCGCTGCAAGATCCATCGGCAGCTCCACAACTGTTGTGCCGGGCGTGAAACGCTGATCCACAGTATCGATGTGACTGTTGAGGAACGCAAATGTCTCTGCGAACGATGGCGAGAGTTGTGGATCGCCGCTGATGGGCCTGCTGGAGAGAAGTTGGCTCGCAGGCAGATCTATGGGCTTCGGCACCGCTGAGCTGCGAGCGGCTTCTCTGGCCTTGTTCGCTTCACTGGCCACCTTCTGATCTCGGAAGGTGGGATTCTGTTCCGGTCTGCTTTGCGCAGAGTCTGCTACTATCTTGCTCCTGGACGTCTCCAGGGGCTTCCTGTTTTTCAGATGCGGGATTTTGAGCGAGAGCGAGGAGCCTTGAAGCAAGAGGCGAGATGAGAGCCGGGACTTGGGACGCTCCTCGATCTTGCTGTAATCTGTTGGACGTTTCGCGTCGGACACGGGGTTGGCTGGACGAGTAGAGGCCTTGGCCGCAGCCGCGCTCTGAAGCCGGGGGATGCTCGACTGCTTGGCCAGCGAGGGTGCGACAGGGGATCCATGCGACGTGGAAGAGCTGGCGGAACCGCGTTTTGGCGCCTCGCTTGAACGGCCATCGGTGGCCCTGGATGCCACGGTGGATCGACGGTCTAGCCGCGAAGAGGGTCGGCTTGAATGCGATCCGGTGTGAGTGGAGCTAGAGGCAGCATCGAGCACGCCCGAGTATATCCCTTGTGAGCCCGGCGCTATTGAATCGCCCAGCGTGCGGGTGGACTGGCCGAGAGACATGCGCTCCGAACCGACAGGCTGTGGCTGGTCTGCCTGCGTAGGGCTCCACAAAAAAGAGTTGCGCAGGCTCTTGGCCTGTCTGGACAAGGTCATGCGGAACGAGCTGCTGGAGGACGTCGAGGAGCGCTTGGAAGCCGTAGCAAGTGAGGTCTTGTCGCCGCCGTGCGCCGACGATGTCGACAGGCTGGAAGTGGACTTGTTGGCGGTCGACCTATGACCCACTGCTGAGCTGGAAGAAGAGCTGGTGGATGCAGTCGGTTGCTGGTAGGGCGACAGACTCGGTCTTGTTGCGACTTTGGCGGCGTCGTTCGATGTAGACAGGCTCGGTGCCGGTGGGGAGGAGACGGGATGCAGAACCTCGCCTTCGAGCTTTCGGAGATTGGCGGCAACAAGCTTGCTGCCTGGTCCGCTGAGTCGATCGACGCCATCTGACTCGGTGAAGTCATTGCGAGCAGGTAGATGAAGTTCGTCAGACGCCTGGTCTAATGGCACTGCGAGCGGATCGAGCGATTGGGAGCGTGAAGGTGGGATGGGTGCGTTGGCGCGCATCAAAGGCGGAAGCGAGGATTCGGCTCCGTTTGGCGAGGGTCGAGCGTAGGAGTAATCTGACTTCCAGAAGTCGTCGAGGCCGTCAGCGGGTGCTGCTTCCTTGCTGTTGGCTCGAACAGCCTTGGGTCGAAGCGGTGTCAGCTCATCCGACTCCAGCTGTTGCTCGTAAGGGGAGCCTTCAGCTTCTTCTGGGCTGGTTGGAGTTGTGCTCGTAGAGCTCTTGCTGCGGTAGAGTGTCGAGGAGGGCGGTAGTGCAGCCGAAGCGGCCGAGGAGTTGGGCAAGGCGATGTTGAGCCCATGTGGCAGGGCATTTGTCTCGTGCTGCTTCGCCGGTCGCGACGTGTCGAGGGAAGGGGTTATGGTCGGGGGGATCGGGAGCTCTTTGAAGCGGCGATTGAGTACATGAGGATGCTGAGGCAGAAAGAAGCTGTCGGTCGTGGCGGTGGATCGCGACGATCCGCTGGATCTGCCCGAGTCGCTGCGGTGGTGATCCTGCGATGCGTCCAACGTTGGGTTGGCGAGCGCGAGGCGGGACGAGGAGGGGCATACGGGAGGGTGCGACGGTTTGCGGCTGGAATAGAGCGGCTGCTGGCTCGCGGCGGCGTGGTGAGGCGACGAGGCGGACGGCTTTCTGGCGAGGCGAGAGGGAGACGGGGATGCGGCTTCTGCGCTGGACTGCGTGCGAGCCGGTGTGGCTGCCCCTCGCTGCTTCGAAGGAAGCGGCGGCGGAGAGCTCGAGCTGGAAGGCAGCGCGCGGCCCGAAGATATATTGGGAGGAGCCATGGTGCCGACAGTGGGTGCGCGGAGCGCGTAGGGTTGGAGGGTGCGACGGGTGTCAGGCAGCCATTTGCAGAGTCATTTGGGTGCGACGTAGAGCCAGGAGTCGATGTCGATGACGAGCGGGCGAAACAGAGAAACTGGAGCAAAAGACGGAGAACAGGGCGTGCGATCGGTGCTTGAGGATAAGGACGAACCTCTCCCTTTGGCTACGAGAGCGTCAAGTGATGTTCCGAGCGTGAAGGTTGGGGGCCGTCACGATGCAGTCACAGGATATCCTAGATGAAGCAGGAAGAACGAGGTGGAGATGAAGCAAACAAGACCAGCCGGCGTCGACGGACGAGGCTGCGACAGTTGGACCTTGACGGAGGGAGGCGAGCACGAGCGAGAGCACGAGCACGAGCACGAGCACGAAATGTGGAGCGCCAGCCCGTGCAGCGAGCGTTTGGCCAGCTTAGCCGACGAGATCGGGACTAGACGATGCACGCGTTGGAGCGACGCAGCAAAACCATGCGGCACTTAGAGGCGGATCGGGGCGACAGCGACGACGACGAGGACGAGGAGGCGGAGAGAGAGTGAAAGGGCCTGCCAGTGGCCTCCTCCTCGACATGTGTGAGTGTGTGCCGCAGGGCTGGCGGAGGGCAAAGCGAGCGGTGGTGGGTGTCATGCTGCTCGCCTCGGCTAAAGGGCGGTTCAGGGCTCAAGTCGGTGCTGCTGCGCTTGCACTTTTTCGATGCACTTTCGATCCTCTCGTGCTGCAAGCCAACAAAGCAGCCTCGCTCCTCCTTGCCGCTGGCTGCTTGCCCGCTTGCCTGCCTCTTTGTGGAGAGCAAAAGAATAAATAAAAATAAAGAGAATATCTTGAAAATTAAACGATAAAAAAAACTCCTCGAGAATCGGCAGGATCCAAGGCTGCAGCTGCAGGTGGGTTGGTTGGCTCTGTAGAGGGTGCCCACAAGCGAGCCAAGTCAAAGGCCTTCGCGATGCATGTGCCTCGTCCAGCCATGGCAACCAGCGCCTGCTCGCTTCGGCTGTCCTGCCGCACAATTTTGAAAGGCCAAGGTACAGTCAAGCGGATCGGATGCAGAATCGTAGACAAGAGCCGGAAAAGGTTGCCGCTCTGACTTGGCTCGATCGATCTTTGCGGGTCACATCCGAGCCTAAGCGGAGAGGTGGCGGATCGACGCTGGGATTGGCATGCGATCCATCCACTGCTACTTGGCACTCAGCCGTTCCCATGCAGCCTCGTCCACGCCAAGTGGAGGTTTTGAAAAAGAAAAAACGACAAGGCACAGCAGCGAGAGGCGCTAAAGCTGCAATGAGCGTCGCGCCGCTGCACGTCGACCTGCCCCAAGCTATACTCCGACAAGAGCCTGCAGTATGAGGGAGAGGGTGAGCGTGAGCGCGAGCCAACCACTGCGGGCACCATCGCACATTCTACGACGATCGTGGGCGCTCACGTCGGTTTCACCTGCAGTACTGCGCTGGCTTCTCCGCACCTGACCCTGGTGTCTCGGAATTTCTCGACCCTGGCCGCCTTCGCCTCGCCCTCCGCAATTTTCGCGCACATCCGCCTCAAAGCCCTTTCACAGTTTTCCATCGGCTCTCCCGACGGGCACCGATCCCATGCACCGATCCCAAGCAGGACCTGGTGGATCGGAATCGGTCGGTTGTCTCCCGATGGCGCTTGACATCGGTCGACATCCGGTGGACAGGTGGTCAGTCACAATCGCAGCCTTCACACGATCCTAACGCCTCTGAAACGCGATGGATGGCGATGTCATGTCGTCGACGGTCATGCTGCCTAGTGTTACAGCACTTCAAGAAATCGCTCTCAGGCCTGTCCAAACTGCGCCTTGAGCTGCATGATGCTCGCCTTCTGATCGGCCGGAAGCGCGTTGATCTGGTCCGGCGTAAGCTGCAGTACCTGCATGAGCAGCGCCTTCTGCTCCTCGGGAAGATTCTGGCCGGCGAGCGCTGCGATCGGATCGTTGGCAGCGGGTGCTTGCGGCGCAGGTGGCTGGGCGCCGTAGCCAGGCTGGCCGTATGGCCCAGGAGGTGGGCGGGCCGAGGGCGGATAGGCGCCCGGCGGAGGTGCTCCGCCGTAATGTTGAGGCGGTGTCGCGGATCCTCCGCCATTGTTGGAGCCAGCCTGCTGCATGTGAGGCGGAACGGCTCCCGGTGCTCCGGCGGGAGCAGCGGCCGGCGCACCAGGCAGCGTACCTGATGCGGCGAGGATGCGCTGCAGAATGTCCGGGTCCACGACGTTCATCATGAGCATCGCCTGGAAGAGCGCATAGGCAAGTTGCGGGTGCCCAGTGAGAAGAGCCCTCGCCTGGTCCGGAGACGTCGTGACGAGCGATTTCATCTGACTCATGATGTCGAGCAGTTGGTTAGGTGGTAGTGTTGCCAGCGTCTGTGTGATGGCGTCCGTCGCGCCCACGCCTGGTGGCAGCGGCACACCGGCCGGCAGATTCGGCGGCAATGTCATTGGTCCGCCACCCGCGCCCATGGGTCCTGCTCCTGGCGCGCCATACGCACCAGGAGGTCCGCCAGGTCCACCATACGGAGCGCCGCCAGGACCGCCGAAAGGTCGCTGGCCAAAGCCATTATCGCGTTGTTGCCAGCCTGGGCCCACCGCTCCTCCTCCGCGGGTCGGGCCTGCATGGCCGAATGTCCCTGGCCTACCAGCGCGCCCAGCCGCTGCTGCCCTTCTACGCAGGTCATCCTGGTCAAACTGGCCGTGCTGTGTCGAGCGTCCTTCCATGAGCGGGTCGATGTCGGCGAACGAGATGCGCAGCGGGCGGCCGCCCACCTCGACTTCGTTGAGATTTCGCACCGCGGATGCGGCGGTCTCTGGATCTTCAAACTCGCAGAATCCGTATCCCTTGAACTTGCCCGTGTCGCGATCGTTGACCAGGCGGAATCCGACCACCTTGCCCACCTCTCGGAAGACATCCGTCAATTGCTCCTCCGACATGTCATATGGGATGTTGCCGACTGCGTTCGTAAAGTGGTTTGAAGCGGTCGATGTCAGCATCGTCCACATAGCTCTTTCTCTTTCAATGCGAGGGCGATCAACTTACCGAAGACGACGCGCGACCCCCTTCCAGGACCGGGACCAACCATCGTGAAGGGTGGATGTTTTGCGGAGATGCGGCTTTGGTGTTCGTATAAGGGTGTCTGCCTTCAGATTCGAGCGCAACGCCGAATCGCAACAGGACTTGCACTGATTGCAGATCTCTGGATCGATGCTAGTGCAAGGCTTTGCGAGCTGCGCAGGGTCGATGGCGATGCAGTCGGGTTTGATGAGCGTACTTGCTGCGCACCGAGCTTTGAGCACTGCAAAGAAGAAGTGCGCACGGCAGGGGCCAGAACAGACACACAATGGTACGCGCGCTTTTCAGAGATCGACAGCCTCGGCCTGGTGCAGTCACGCTGTTCTGGATGTCACCGTGTTCTGGATGATGGTGGATGAAAAGAAGAGGGCGGGGTCCAGGTTGAGGTGGAGTTTGGGTCTTTCTTCCAACAGCTTCGCGCTCAACACACCTTCCTGCTGGGGGTCAGATCGGATCCGACCTCGATTTTCAGATTGTCAGACCTTCTTGGAGAACACGATGAATCCGCGAAAATTTTGCAAACGAACCACATGCCTTCCCCGCATTTTGCGGGAATGTGCGCAGCGACGTCGGGAGTGGAATTCCGGAGTGACACAAAACACAGCGACGTTGGCTTGAGCTTGAGCAGCCCGCGCCTTCTTCGGTGGCCGCATATGCGCACGCGCGGTGATCTCGTTGATCGTCGAAGCTGCTTTACCAGCTGCCGAAGGGCGAACGGCTTCTTGTGACCCACCGAGTGGTACAGTTGCAGTCAACGCCTGTGTGGCTTGGCATCGAAGACAAGGGCAGAAATGCGCCTGGGGCAACACAGCCTCGCGGCCTCGCATGAGTGAATGGACGATGAAGGACAACAGCGCAGCTATTTTGAGCGCTCGCTTGCTGAAGCCTCGCTACATGTCGAGAATCGCGCACTTGAACATGGCCATTCAGAGGTTTGGGAAGCGACATATCTGCATTGGCGGCAGCAAGGTGGGGTCGGCGGGCGGTCGGCGACACTTTGCCGCTCTCTCTTTGCAGCTCGGGAGGGACATGTCGCGAGCTCCCGCTTGTTGACCGGCGGCAAGGCGAGAGCCAAACGACACGCGCGCAGCCAGTTGGGTGGCAGAGCAGCGGGGCGCAGGTCGCGTGTGTGTGGCGAGGCGCGGGCGGGGCTGCGAAAAGCGCGGGGAACGCAGGGCCGAAAACCAATTCGCGGCCAAGCGGGTCCCGGCGTCTTTGGGACAGATTTGCATTTTTTTCCCACCGACCCTGCCGCCTCTTCTCAACCATATTCGTCAACACCAACTCTTCTTCGCCGTCTCTCTTTCCTCTCTACATCACCCTTTGTTCTTCCTAGCCGCAACATCATGGCTATCGGCGCGATGACTCCCTTCGTGGGTCCTGCAGCACGAGCTGCTCGCCCTTCAACCTTGCAACTCGCGGCATCAACGAGCCTGGCAGCTCGGGAGAGCCGACGCTCGCTGGTCTCCTCCTCGACCGCGTGCGCTTCTGCCTCTTCCTCGAGCGCATCTGCGTCGCCTTCACCCAGATCCTCGCGTCGCTCTGCACGCTTCACGTCTCGACCCGGTGCGGACATGGTCGGCCCACCCGATCCGATCAGCAACCTCCGACCCGTTCGATACGGCTCTGCGTTCGAAGAGGCTGCTTCGTCTTCATCGGCCTCACCCAACGATGCATCCTCACAGATGGGATCCTCGGCATCGCTGAGCATGTCGCATCCGTATTCGCTGCACGAATTCACCACCTCGGGCGATTCCAACCTGGGCTGGTCGGGAAACCACGCTCGTCGCAGGGGCACTCGCTCGCCGTCGGTGTACTTTGAGCGTCTGCTCGCCAAGCTGGAAGAAGCCGAGTTGGCCCACAAGCTGCGCATGGCACGTGCGGATAACTTCAATCAGCGCTTTTGGCAGGATAACAACGCACGCTTCATCCAGGCACTTTCGGCATTCCGATCGCGCACGGGCTCAAGCAAGGCCGTCGCCACACTTCCCCATGCTGCATCGGACACTCGGCAGGCTGGTGCGGCTGCAACCAGCACCGAATCCGAGCTCGACTTGGACTCGGACTCGCTCGCCACATTCTACTCGGCCTGGCTCAAAGCCAATGCCGCACGACACCGCGCATACAACCGCCAGCTGTGGCGCCAGACTTTCGGCGACCTTGCCCCCGCAGCCAGGTATCAGGGATTGCGTGCGTGGGCAAAGGTCGTAGGCGCTGTCGAACGCAAGATGGGTCGAATCGACTGAGGAGCCGCTGACGCCAGTGCAGTCATGCGCCCTGTGGTTCGCCGATCCAGCCAGTGTGGTCTTCCCGGTCTGCCTTCTTTGTATCGTATCTCTCCTTTCACGGTCTGTAACATCATATCTTGGTTCAGCTCTGGACGGGTGTGGCAGTGCATCATTGAGAGGCAAGTTCACGTGTCGAGACAACACTTTTCTGCTCGGTGCGGGAGCTGCCGCGTGATGCTCTCCAGTCGTAAAGGGTTTGAAATTGCGAGAATCAATCCGAGGCAAGGCACTCGCGCAACACACGGGTCGAATGGGCCAACGTCTGCGTCGCCTCAAGACACTTGAAGCCGCGATTGATGAGCGACTGCAAGGTCGGCAGTTGCATCGCACCGATGTCCTGCGTCTCTGACTTGGTCCGTCGAGAATCAGCCTGGCTGTCGACGTGCGTGTCCATGGCGGAGAGGCACTGCTCCATCTCGTCGGCGTCGCGCTCGAACGCCTTGATGAGTCGCGACAGGAACGATCGTACATCGCGCGGCTGCACTGCCACAGCTGCCTCTCGAGATGTGCTGCCGCTTTCCTCCGCCTTGTCGGAACCGGAGGATGCACGAGAGCTCGTCTGCGCACTTGCCAACGATCGAGCAAGCAGGAACTTGATCTGGTTGATGCGGTCCCGATCTTGCATCTGCAGGATGCGCACAAAGGCAAATGCGACGATTCCCCCCTTCTTCATGTCGTTTGTCAAAGCGTCGTTCGTGCCGCCGCTGGTGTCCTTGGCGGTCGCAGTGGTAGGCCGGCCCTTGACGCGCGAAATCGTCACTACCCGTGCCGTTTTCGATGCTTGCTTTCGCACCACCTCGCTTTCGCCTCCCGCAGCCTTGTCGGGGAACGAGAGCGGGCTGCTAGTGTTTGCCGAGGCGTCCAGTTCGAGCCGGTTGAGCGACAGGAACGCCTGCAAGGCTTTGGCATCACCACTCTGGTCTCGCGTCAAGCACCTCCGCAGGCGCGACGCCGCAGCCTCTTCCTCGGGCAACACCTGTGCAAGAGCCAAGTCCAAGTCCAAGCTGACACCGTCGCCGATTCGAATCGGGATCGTAGAGGATGCCGTTCGCTTCTTCGACCCTGCCGGGTCCTTTGCAAAATCCTCCAGGTGGCTAGCGAGCACGCTGGCCACGGCTGAGGGCTGTCGACGTAGCAGCGGCAGTATGATGTACTGGATCTCGACGGCATCCAGAGCCTCAAGCCGGTCCGAGACTCCTTCCGTGAAGACACCAGACTGGATGTACCCCTGCTTGACCAATTGATACATCAGCGATAGCAGCCGAGCCGCAGTCTCGGCCCGCGCGGCCATCCACTGCTGCTGCCTTTGCTCGCCGATTGTCTGGCGCTGCATGAGCTCTGCTTGTGGGACTGAAGAGAGGAGGCGTTTATGACCGTGGGATTGGTTCGATGCGGCCTTGTCAAAGAGACCGTAATCGTTTCCGCTCTCTGCCGAGGGCGGCGTGAATGCGGGCAGGATGCGTGGGAACGAGAATGCGAGGTCCAGAGCGCGGTCAATGTCGTCGGTGGCGTCGTGTGGATTGGGCCCGCGCGGTCCCTTCCTGGCGAGATGGCTGCGAGGGAATTGCCATAGGAGGGGTGGCTTGCTGTTCTTGGATGCAGAATCTTGGCCGTCGTCGGTCGGTAAAGCTAGTGGAGTGGTTCGCTCCCAGAGGGCGACGAGCGCGGCAAGTGTCCGCCACGCACCTTCGGTCATCTGCAGCTGGTTTTGCCCTGTCTCGTCGTCATCTCGTTGTGATGTTGAAGGTTTGTCTGTGCGCGGGCGCTTTTTAGGAGAAGGAGAGGCAGTGCTGAGACCTCGACGTCCTTTGGGTGAGGCCGGCCCCTTTTTGCCGCGACCGGGGATAGAAAGCGAGGGCAAGTCGTCGTCGGAATCGGAGTCTTGATCGCTATCTGAGGATAGCGACTCCATCTTCTCACCAGTTTTCTTCTTGCGTTGGAGCTCTCGAAGCTTGTCCTCGAGTCGGTGGGTCTTAGGATCGGCACTCTGCAGCTGCCTGAGGAATCGTTTGCGCTGTGATGCGTTCATCCAGAACTCGTACACGTACGTCAACGAAGCGCTCTTGGAAGTCGTTGCAGCTGAGAATTGTCGACCACAGAGGAGGTCCCAGATATCCTCGGCTTGTAACAGATGCTCGGAGATCCAGCGCTCGACGGAGCTTTGCTCGAAGGATTCATCTCTGCCGCTGCCGTCGGATGGCACAGAGCCTCGGCGTGTTTGTCGCGAGGGCCTGGGAGAGCCACTGCGAGAAGACGACAACGGCTTCCTGCGAGACGGAAGCGACTCGAGAATTTGATGCGCGGTCAGTGGTAATGTGCGGTCCTCTCTGAGCTGGCTGGAGCTGCCTTGACCGGATGAAGGTTGTGCTGCGGCTGCGCTGGCGTACTCGTGGAGCAGCGATGTCGCCTTGACTACAGCCTCGGGAGGGGGACCTTCGGAGGTAGAGGAAGCGGCATTCTTGAGGTCACGTTTTTCGCCGTTATTGCGCTTGGTGTGGGCATACAGACCCGAAGCGATATCGTGGAGGTGGTCATCCAGGGTCCATCTGGAGGTGGATGCAAGCTGACCAGGAGCGAGCGAGCAGAGACTGAGAGCCATCAATCTCTGAATGGTCTTGGCAGATGGCCTCAAGCCTTGCGTCAGGACCTGCTCGAGGAGAGCCACGGCCTGCTCATACTGGTCCTCGTCGAAGCGGTCTTCAACGAGTTGAGCAAGAGTGGGCGGAAGCACCACATAGGGCCGACCCGAGTTGACTGCTGGGCTATCGAGCTTCTCGGTCATCGCTGATGCGAGCCGGCTCGACGGCAGAGGGCTAGGGAGCGGATCGGTGGTGGCCAAAGGCTGCGTGGTGGTGGTAGCAGTTAAGCATGCGGGGGTCGGCATCGCCGTGGACCGGGATTCTGACCCACCTCGGACGGTGGGAAGTGTGGCTCGAGGGTTCGTGCGTGCCTGGAAGAACTGCCGCACCTGCCCTTCCGCACTCACGCTTCCGCACTTTGCAGTGCGCTCTGCTGCCCCGAATTTGTCTGGCTTAGTGAGATCCGGTCCGAGCCACGGCCCTCGGCTGTGGAGCCGATTTTGGTGCGACGCGTCGAGCGACGCAGGGTGCGTGTTTTTTCGGACGCTTCCCAAAATTCTCTCTGCAGCACCCGAGCGCGATTCGGTTGTGTGGAGCGGAGAGCAGTCAAGTGGAGCGGGTGTTGATCTCCCAGCCGTCGGCTGATCCGACTGATCGTGCTTTGCGACCACCAACTCTCACCTCAACAACCTGGGGCGGGCACACACGCTTTCACCAATCACATCACTCGGGCAATCCACTCGCGCCTCTCAACGGAGTGTTCGGTCACCCTAGCGTCTCTTGTCGATCGGCTCATCCGAACAAATCTGCGCGCCGCGCCGCAACCCGACCGACCAACTGCCAAAGCGAGCGCATCCAAGCAATGTCGAGCCACTTTCCACGCCTCAATCTGGACCGCCCAGCGGATCTGGATCATGTGCTTCGGGTCATTCACCAGCATGCGACCAAGGTGGCGCAGATGGAGTTTGGCAGCGAACTAGAGCGCGACAAGGCGTTGAAGGCCGTCGTGGACAAAATGACGAAAAGGGTAAGCGCCAGTCATAAAGGCGGCTGCGTCTTTGCCATCAGACCCAGCCGATACTGAATTTTTGCTACATCCTCATCTCATTGCAGCTGACGGGCGCGACCAGAGCCAAGATCGAGCGCAACTTGTTATACAACGGCATGACACCGCACGAATACGCTCGACACACCAAAGGTAGGTTCAGCTTTCCTAGAGTGCAAAGCTATATACGCTATTCTAGCGCCCCGTACTCGAACGGTGACTGACTTTCCTCCTGCCGCACATTAACAGGCGTCGAGCCGTTCGACGAAGAGCTGTCAAGACGCTTGCAGATGCTGAATGACCAAGCCAACAACCTCACGACCGAAGTGATCGCATTCCGCAAGAGTCTGCCGGCACGCAGGGCACAGGCGATGGAAAAGCGTGCAGCAGTCATCCGTGCGCTCGAGGCCAAGAAGGAGGAGCAGCGCCGCGCCGTGGAGAGGGAGCATGCTGCCAAACTTCGCGAGCAAAGCCGACCCATCGCTCTCGACCTCAAGCGCAAGGCGGAAGTGGCCGACACGCTCAAGGAATCAGTCGTCGACATCACCAGCCTCCAAGTTGTAAGTCCGCACGTCGCAGGCGGTCAGCTTCGAGTCGGAGCGGCTGCCATTACACTTTCCGAACTTGGCTTCTCGCATCATGTTGCTGACTCTCTCTGTCCTCGGCGCCTCTTGCTACACCACAGTCGATTCTCGAGCAAGCGACAGCCGCGAGCGAACAGGCAAAACTCGTCAAGCGCTTGCGGACAATGCCGCTGTAGACGAGGCCGCCGCATCACATCCTCGTTGGCTGCCGGTTCGGATCTCTCGTGTTCCGATCGCACCAGCCATATCCTAGCACACCTATATACCCTCATCAGTCGCAATCCCTGGTGTTTCCAAGCCTGTGCATCCCGCCCGTTCGCCTTCTCCCAGCTCAAATCTCAGCGTGCAGATTTGAATCACTAGTCCGAGGGGATGAAAGGCATGTATGTGATGTCTTCCTTTTGCGTCCCTGACATCTGCGGCCATAGAACCTTGAAAG